AAATAATTTCCTCCTTACCTTTAAAGAACTGGTCTGATTAACACACTGCTTCTGCTAACTGGCTGACAATAAAGATCCCTGAAAAATAGAGAGTGTTGACCATATATCCTTTTTCTGAAGTCTCTGGTGCAGCCTAGTGGCTGTTTAAGATGATGTTCAGTTGCAAAAGACAGCATTACTAATATTTGATGGCACATCCATACGTGCAGTCGCAAGAAGGTTTGCTGTGTAGTACTGTCTCAAGAGCACAAAGGAGATAGCCTACACGAAGAGAGCTGGACGGGGCCGTAGAAGAACATCAGTCTTGCTGCAGGACCGGTATTTGCTCCTATTTGTGAGGAGGAACAGCAGGAGCACTGGCAGAGCACTACAAAATGACCTGCAATATCATCCAGCATGACATGTTTAGCGGTGGGTCAGTGATGGTCTGGGGAGGCCTATCCTTGAGCGTTGCACAGACCTCTGTGTGCTAGCCAAAGGTACCCTGACTGCTGTTAGGTACCGAAAAGAAATCCTCAGAGCCATTGTCAGAGCTTACGCTGGTGCAGTGGTCCTGGGTTCCTCCTGGTGTTGGACAATGCCCGGACTCATGTGACCAGAGTGTGTGTGGGCAGTTCCTGGATGACAAAGGCTTTGATGCCATTGACTGGCCCTCATGTTCCCCAGACCTGAATCCAATTGAGAACCTCTGGGACATTATGATTCAGTGCATCCGATGCTGCCAAGTAGCAACACAGACTGTCCTTGAGCTCACTGAGGCCCTGATCCAGGTCTGGGAGGAGATCCCCCAGGAGACCATACGCCTTCTCATAAGGAGCCTGCCCAGACTTTGTCAGGAGTGCCTACAGGCATGTAGGGGCCATACACACTACTGAGTCACATGAGTTGCTGTGATGAAAGTCACGCAGGTTGGATCAGCCACTGGTTTAAATTTTTTTGCTTTAACTAAAATCCATTTCAGTTCAGATCAGTTGGTAATTTTGGTTTTCATTGATCGTTGTTACGTCATTTTGTTCTCAACGATGCAATGTACAGTAAAGATTTTGTTTGTTGAGATCTGATGTAGTGAGATCTGAAGTGTAACTTTAATTTTGTGAGCAGTGTATATATATTCCTATTAGTATTTAGATTGTTCTTTGCTAAACACAACTCTTGGTTGCACATTTGCGCCTGACCTGGTGGTCAACTGGTGTAATGGCTGTTTCATGTGGTGAAAAGTTTTAAGAAAAGCTAATAAGTGGAGATTAATATTATTATTTTGTCACACATACATTATAAACATGTACATGTGATTCCCAAAGACAACAATGAGCTTCTAAGCTCATTAGATTAATTATGATAAACATTAACACATGAAACAAAACAACACAATAATTAAAAACCCATCTACACCAAATATCCCTCCATCATGTTATCACCTCTTAGAGATCTGAGGTAATCAATAAGCCACACACATTCTCTAATTATAAATAAATCAGGTTAATGCTGTCTACATCAATATCACATTTTAGGGTGCAGTAAATTTAATACCATCTTAACATCTCATTGAAGCATGTTTTCTTCCTTTCATGGTCAAATACAAATTCTTTGCCACTATTGACAATTTACTTATTTCTACTCTGTAATGAACACAGGGACAAGAATAATAATAATTGAACCAGACGACTGTCTTGTTAAATAATGTTGTCTGCGTGAGAAGAACGACAGGTTTCTACATTGTGTCTACAATTATTAGGCAATTGTAAGCTAATGTACTAATAAGCATTCAACTTTACACAGCTAGGAGTTGGAAAATATTTCCACTTTAACCTTAACCATTCTAATTGGATCTACCGACTCCGATACGAGAAATCAAAAGTCTGTAACTGTGTGATCATTTGTCCAAACAGCTAATTCTCACATGGCACAATGCGCGAATGATGGAAGTTGCACAGAGTATAGTCAATTTTATTTCTCCAGCACATTTAAAACAACATGAGCTGATCAAAGTGCTGTGCAAACACAGACAGAAAAAACAGGTCAGCAGAGCAGACGACGAAATCCCGCACGACTCAGTAGAGGGGGCGGATCTGATGTGGTGGGGCAGATTGGTCCACAGACCAACTGAGAAGAAGACATGAGTGGTTAGCCGACTTGAATGACCTAGGTGGAGTATAAAGAATGAAAAGGTCAGATAGGTAAGAGGGAGGTGATCCATCAAGTGCCCAGACAAATAGTAAGACTTGTTTGAAGACTGAAATAGTATGCAAGGTAGATATGCATTATGTAGTGGTGTGCTTTATACCGCATGTTTATTACCTGAACTGGATCAAATAGAATCCTGTAGATGGAATATTACATTCTGATTTCATCCCAGGCCAATAAGAAATGATTCCCTTTCTCAGGATGCAGATCATACAGCCAAGCAAGCCTACCATCTAACTCAGAGAAATTGTAGGCTGATATCCGCATACATTTCTGTAATGCATGTTGAGGCCACTCAAAATATAATGTACAGAACATATCTGTACTGTTCTGGTATTTTCCTGGCTTTAGCAGAATTAGAAACCAGGAAGAACATGTGAAATGAGGCTAAATTGGCACCAATTTGTTTAACAGTAGTGAGTCAAGCTGAAAAACCTTCACCAGGTCTATGTGTATAAATAGTGATAAGACAAAAAAGATGCATTAGGTACATATAGGTATCTTAAAGTTCCCGTCCAGACATGCAAAAAGGCACTGCTTTGAATAATAATTTTCATCAAATATTTTTTTTCCAACAAATTATTAAATGACCTCATTAAAAAAATCTTAGAATTACAGATATTCCTTCTCCCTCATTGAAAACCCCAGAATTTATGAATATGCAAATATTCTCACTTCAAAAATTTAACTGCTGGACACAAGATGTCTTCTCCTTCACTGAAGAGTTCATTCTCAGTGTATGTACATACTTGTGTACAGCTGTGCCACAGTAAGCAAAACACAACCTTTTAAAAGTAAAATGACAAAAAAAGATAAATACATAACAAAGATACACAAATATATAAAAACAAATATATACAACCACATTTACAGGAGGAGTCTTTGAGATTTGAACAATGCAGTTGGTGCAGGTGGCAGATCACAACGCTCATGGCCCAAAGAAAGATGCTGTGGAAGTGAAAAGTAAAATATAATAATATTAATAAAAAACATTTATTCTCCTAAAGCTGGCATGCTGCGAGCCTATTGTTATTGGCGATTGTGTATTACATTCATTTGTACTACAGAGGTGAACATCCTCTGGCTGGGAAACTCTCCTTGCAATCTCAAAAGTGACCACCAGAGGAAGATATGTTCCAGCAATGCCAGGTTATTCAGCCAGAGATACATGTTGAGATACAGAGACAACACACCTGTGGCAACATGTAGGCCACATTTAAAACAACATGGGCATATCCATTATTGTACCTCACACTGTATGTTCTTGAGGACAAGAGGAGTTTTTCACCCTTTGAGCCTGAATATTCAATTGATTTGGCAAGATGCGTAGTGGCCTGTGAGACTGAAAGAACGTCTTTAAAATTGCAACTGAAGAGAATTTTGACAGAATGTGACTGGTAACTGATTTTGATTCATGTGAACTGTTTTAGTAATACTTTGCAAATATAAGACCAATGACAGTTGAATGAGAAACTTCTGTTTTCTTTCCCTTTAGAAACCTGACTTTGTGTGACACGTCATTATACACATTCTTTTGGAGGATTAATGATTTTACATACAAAACATGCAAGAGGTTCAAACCTGAATGTATATGACTCTTTTACATTCAGAGATAAGACAAAGATCCTGTTCTGTTGGTCCTTAAAGTGTGTGCCTTTGTTAAGTGCTCTTAAATGTCAGTGTCATATTAACATAAAATTTGCTTTCTCCTTTGCTGGATAACAAAAGCCAGAAAAGTATTCAAGAAAGGTGCCTTCTCATTTAACCTGCACTTTTCTACACACTTTTACAATCCGTCCCTTACAACATACCATATAATGCTGCTTTTCTGATTCCCTTTTTGAGATGCACATATGATTGGGAGGTTATTAATTTCAAACACGTTGACTGGAAGAGGTATTTGCATCGCGCAGTTTATCCTGCTCTGAATTGTGTTCTTTTTATGTTATGAATCTGTCACGTCACCTCCTGCTTCTGTTCCGTCTGTTCTACATGGTGTCATATTTTAAAGAAAAGCTTGAAACACAATAAGATTTAAAAAGTTAAATATCTAAACAGACCACCAACTCTGACGCCTTCAAAGGTTCTGTGAGTCTTTCAGCTACAGAGTTGATTTTTAGAAGGTCATGGCTTTTCTCAAAGCAGCCCTGAGACATGCTAAAAATATGCTGTGGGAGATATTTCACAATTTTTGCGGGCCAAATAACCACAAAGCAAAAAATCCCAGAGGTGCTCTAGCCTGGGTTTTCTGACCTCTCCAATGAAATACTTCCCTTTGAGCTGCTCAGTTGCTTCACTGGGCGACATCCTGCAGAGGTTCAAAGTCTGTAATGACTTTACATCATACATACACAACATCATCATCACACCTGCTGTATTCACAACAGCAGAAGAAAGAACAGATGATATTGATCATTTTCTTGGAAGAACCATGTATGCGTATTGTACAACCTGCAAAAAAGTATTAATGTGTGAACAGACCTATTTTTAGAAGAAGAATCATGTTTGTTTTAACTTTACCTTCTAACTTGAGCTTCCTGTCTTGCATTTACTGCTTCAAACCATCAGAATCATCATCGACATCATGGTCATCAAACTAATGCCTATAACTCAAGTCACCTGCATGGTATTTAAAATGTCTGTACTTTCAAGTCCTTATTTTCTTCCCTTTTGCATATGAATCTATGCAGGACAAGTAGCCTACCGCTTTGCATACAACTTCGGCTCAGTGTAGGCAAAGAGCAGACAAACCCTGAGAAGAGGTGGAGCTATGACGAGCCTCATAAAACCCAAAGCTTATTCCTCAACTCACTGCGAGGGTAACGCGCTCTGCGGCTGACAAATAGCTCCGACCTCAGCACACAGCGAGTGGGCATGAACACGGCCGGGTCCCGGAGTTTTTGGTCAAAGGTTTGCTCTCGGTTCCAGATTTCTCCTCTAAAAACAACCAAATCTGTTCACAAGTAACGCGTAAAACCCGCAGAGGACGCAAAGACGCGCTGAGAAGTCTGCTGCCGGTACTTTCCCTTCATCCACAACCTGAGGATAACTTCTACAGTCTTGATCTCCGGACTATAGAGGCACTACAGAGGGAATATGACAGCTGGCTTGGGCCACTGAAGGAGTGATAATCGGTGTACGCGCTTGGTGTCTGTCAAGGTGACCGCACAGCCAGATTATGCAGCATCCTTTGGACATGGGTGCGCATTACTATCCTCCGGAGCTTCATCCCGACCACCGAACTCATCGCTACAGGAGTTTCATGATAGAGGAGATCCTGACTGATCACCCGGAGCACAAAGCTTCGGCTCCGGCCGGGGAGCTCCTTAAATTCGGGGTACACGCTCTCCTGTCCTCCCGGCCTTTCCATAACCAGCTGGGTAAGAGAGGCGGCTGTGTAAAGATGTGTTTACATTACATGAATTGAGCCGATGTGAGCGGTTTCATGCTGGGGAAAAATAGGTTATAGGAACTGGAAATAATAATTATTTAATGATTTAGAGTATTTAATGACAGCATACATTTCAATTGGGATTGTTTTTAATTAAATATTACAGTGAATGTGTGTATTTTACTCGTGATAAAAAATGTCTTTCGAGGAAAGATAATTTAACACTTGTCACATGTGGGATTGTTTTTTTCAATCTAGTGACAGTAAATGACTTGTAATAACTAAGAAATTGTCAGAACATTACCGAGGAAACAACTGGGATAAATTAAATTGTACTGTAAGCTAGTGCATTAAGAAAATCACCTAACGGCTAAAAGCAATCTTAAATATACAAACACAATAGGCCCCTGTGTGTCAGCTGCTCAGTGAAAATAGGATTCAATGTCGGTGCTTCCAAGCGCTCCTCGAAGAAAAAGAAAAAATCCTTCATGTTTAGGAGTTGTTACAATATACTCATATTCAAGTGAAAAAAAAAATGTAATAGCCTAGTTTATGAGGCCAAAGTTTGTTTATTTCTTGAAAATGGAGGCCACTGCGCGGCCGTTTTCTATCATATGGAAAAATCACAGAATTGAAACCCGCTGAAATGAATGCTTTATCTGATTCTAAAATGTAATTTCAGACGTTTAGGCTACATGTAGATTATGCCAACTTTTAACATGATTTCCAATGTGTGTCAAAATGAAAGTCTGTACTTCACATGCTTTGAATTGTTTAATAATGTCTCAAATCAAATCACACCTCCAACCCTAGAATTAAAGACGCAATCGTAAATCTGAATTTGAACATGTAGCCTAATATTAGGCCTACTACATAGATACAGATATAATAACTAATAGGCTAATAATAATAATTATAAGATAATATCCATACGGTTGATAAGACCCTATTGTTGTTGGTTTTGGCATTAGGCCACTGTGTTTATGTTTAGCCAATATTCTTATTTATCTATTATAAATGCCTTAGTTTGCAGCTGCGGGATTATGGATCCCCATGTAACAGGGCACTGAACTTTGACCCCAGAAATTTGTAGGCTATTGGTAGATATAATTTCACCAGGCGACTGTAGGGACAAGCACATCTCGGGTCAAACATGGAGTGTTAGTGAAATCAAAATGGGCTGCATGTCATTTGCAGGGACCCAACTGCCTGAGGTGTCTCGGTCCTAAAATAAGATTCGTTTCTAAAACCAACCCCCGTGTGTGTGTGCGTGTGTCTTTGTTCCCTCTCGGTCCGTTTAGTGCTAAAAGCCGACCAGACGAGCCTCCTCAAGTTCCCTCTGTCCCCGTTGTCCTGCTCGCTGGGCTCCCCGCTCGGCTCCCCGCTGCTGTCCGCTGCCCAGGGCCTGCAGGTCGGCGCGGCGTCTCACCACCTGCCGCTGGACCTGCACCTCCGCGGGAAGCTGGAGCACGGAGCCGACGGAGGCAGCAAGACCAAGAAGGGCCGCCGAAGCCGCACCGTGTTCACCGAGCTGCAGCTCATGGGCCTGGAGAAACGCTTCGAGAAGCAGAAGTATCTCTCTACGCCTGACAGGTGGGTTATAGTCACACCGCGCTCACAGAAAGAACACTCGGTGGTACTTTCTATACATTTTATTTCCTAAATAAATAGCCAATGATAATTCCAGGTCTTCTTCGGACGGCTAGTTATAAAGCAGGCAACTTTGTGGCGGTTTAACAGCGATCATAGTCACTATAGTCGCCTATAAATGCCTTTGTTGAGTCTAACATCAACAGCTGTGAAATCATCCACCATTTGTTAGGTTTTATCAGTAGAATGTAAAAGAGAGGACAAAAAAATACAGAGGACATGACCTCAGTGATTTTAATTAATGAAGGGAATTTTTTTCAGAGGGTAGGCCTATATGGGAATTATAGGCTAATGCAAAATGAAATTGTTGCAACTAGTATTTAGTAGCTGCAAAAGTCTAACAGCGTCCTCTATAAGTTAATTGGGCTACTTATATATTTATATTAGGCCTACTTGAATGTGACAATTTATTACCTGAATTATTAGCAACTGACAAGATTTGATCAATTACAGAAAACATGTTGGCAAAACCTGCTCTTTAATTTGAAATGTTTGATCTTCTTCATGTATTTGTTCCTCACAGAATAGATCTGGCTGAGTCTTTGGGTCTCAGTCAGCTGCAAGTGAAAACATGGTACCAGAACAGAAGGATGAAATGGAAGAAAATTGTAAGTTATTTGTCATTATAATGATGATGATTACCAAGATGATGATGATGATGATGATGATGATATGGTAGAGGCCATTTTATTTGAGTTTAGGCCTACAGCAACAGTACTAACAGCAAGAACAAAGAATGGGAAATAGTTTTGTGTTACTAGTATTTCAACAGATGTTAGTTAGTTCAGTGAAATGGATTAGCTTCCGACTGAAACGTATACGCCACCCTGCATAAGGGCCAAATTAGATGATGAGTGAGAGTAAAGGCCTGTGTTACTCAGCTTCCTATTGTTATTTGCAGGAATAGTCCACCTATTTAGGATGTTATATGACATTTGTTATATCTTTAAAATTGGTTAATGTAAATGGTAAAATGATGGAGTAGTAATATATGTATTAAAATATGAAAAGATGAATTAATTGTCTGAAACCATATTTTCTGTCTGTGTGGTTGTGAGGAGCGGTAATGGTCACTGACCAGAGGTCATACAGGTCAGCGTTCTTTTGATTTAAATTGAGCTTAATTTAACTTGGGATTGGCTCCAGACAGACACAGGATGTTCACAGGATTAGCGATTGACGATGAGTGAGTGAACTTAAACCAGATTTTTCTGCTTATGTTCAAACTGCAGGTGTTGCAGGGAGGAGGCCTGGAGTCACCGACTAAACCAAAAGGCCGCCCAAAGAAGAACTCCATCCCCAGCAGCGAGCAGCTCTCTGAACAAGAACGATCTTCTGCTGACGCTGACCACCAGTCCGAAGGCTCGAGCTCCCACTTAGAGAGCACTCAGGAGGAATGACCCGCAGACACTGACTCTATATGCAGAGCCTCTTGGACAGTTAGTGTGTATGTTTTGAATGGGGCCAGGTTCAAAAACGGCATGAAGAGGATGTGCTGATGCTTCTGAAGCAGGACCTGCTTGTGCAATCTCCAAAGATTTGCAGGCCCTGCAGAAACCTAAATTGTACGCCGACATCCTCCAAAAACCCATGTGTTTTTGTTGTAGCCTTACCATGCATTCCCTCATGATGAACTTGCTGCTGCTGAGGAGGGAACTCAAACCTTTGCAGTAGGTCTACCTTTATATTCTACGGATCCACTCTCACTCATCTGTTTTGCATTCCTTTTGTGTAACTATGCTATGTTTAATTATTAAATATATTTTCACTAATACTGTTTTCCATTTATTATAAAGGACAGGCTCATGATAAGCTTTTAATCCAGTGTGTGTACAGTAGTTGGTACAGTACGAGTGCATATGATGAGGATAAAGGTTGATGATGATTAATCATACACAGTCATGTTCACACGGCTCAGAGCCTAATATGGTAACATCTTCACAACAAGAGAATGTCTCATTGATTCCTGACATGTTGTGCTGGGTATTAAATCATATGCCACACGCTAAAGATAACAGTGTGTGAAAGAGAAATTCTTAACTCAGCCAGGCTTATTCTATGTTGCCATTTTTTTGTAAAAGCAAGAATTTCAGGCCAGCAATCAAACAAAACTTTGGAAGTGGAATGTCCTGGTTTAATGTTATCATAAGTTGGTTTAGCAGGAGACATGCGGTTCTTGTTAAGATGTGGATTCACACATGCATTGGTACTACTGTTCATTATGCTGAAAGAAAGGAAGCAATCCTGAGTTGTCCAGAGAAAAGAAACCTTTTTTCTTTTTTTCTTTACCCTTAATTATTCTAAAAAAAAGAAAAAAACAAAAACATTATATTTTCTGCTGCATGGTGAAGAAAACACATGGGCATTTAGTGAGGCCTGGTGATAGTAGATTTATTTGCTTTACATTTTTAGGATTTAGCCAAATGCAAGTAGGCCAGTGTTTATTTGTAATTTAAACTGTTTTCGTTTTTTAATTGATTTAAAAGGCCCATTCCATGTTATGTTCACATTATTATATAAGCAAACAGCTGGAGAAGAACAGATAGAATCAGTGTTACATTGTTTGTGCAGTGACTCCTTTTTTATTGAATGCGGTTTTTAAACCAAAGGGTCCAATGAGTTACACTGGACAAAGATTCGAGTAGGTTTTCTGGTTTGTTTTGGTTTTGACGAGTTGAATTTGCCTTGACTTTATGGGAGAACAACAGAATAAGCGTAAAGGGGCTGAGGAGTTCAGACTCTGTAAAAACGCTGAATAACATTTAGGCCTAAACATTCTGCTGCAGCTTCGTCGAATAATTGTCCGATGTGAGGGACGCCCCAACTTTCTGTGCACGCGGTGTTCATTAACATTGAGCCCAGAGTTGCAGAATGCTTTGGTCTAATTGATGTTCCTGAAACATTACTTGTGCATCCGTTTGCTGTGTGCACTTTTTGGCTCTCATCTCGCTCAAGTCTTTGAGCTGCAGCTTTCACATCACTTCAATATCTGACACTGTGATAAATTTAACAATTTATTTAACAACAGGCTATAGTTTTTCAACGAAAATTGAAGTGGAGCCCCTGATGTTATGTTCTTGGCTAAACTTTTTAATCAGCCGGTTTGTCCTTTATTGGGGCAAATGTAGAATTACACCGGGTTTATTTGAATTGCAGGTGGGGGGGGGGGGGGGGGGGGGGGGGGGGGTTGGGGGGGACATTTTTGCTTGTGTGTGAAGAGAAATAAGCCTATACGTCAAAACGTCTTCTCGCTCTTCACGGTCCAGTCTGCGCTGAAAATGTGCGGGCTGAAGGTTTAACAGAGACCCAGTGAGCTTTATGAGACGCTGATCAATGGGGATATCTTTCTTCTTAAAACATTATAGGCTACTGAAATATGCAACATCCAACTATGCAAATAGGTATTTGTATGTGTATGTGTGTGTGTGTGTGTGTGTGTGTGTGTGTGTGTGTGCCGGCCTTCACGTCAGTGGAGGATTTGGTTTCAAGCTCAAAATGCGGAAAAGTGATTATAATTTTTTTCATGCCGTAGCCTATAGGCCTATTGTATTATCACTGCTGCTGCTGTTATGGTTGTAAACTTCTGTATTATAGGCCTGTTTTAATTTGTTCTGAAATATTTAAATTGTAACCTACGCACTTGGCCTTATGCTTCAAGCCTTCTGTCAAGACGACAGTAAGTCAGGATCACTGCAGGCCCGCTGTGCGCACAGTGCAGGCCCAATAATATTAAGCCGGATAAAGTCCTCATGCGTGGGAGAGTATTACAGGTAGGATATCGTTAACTTTTCCTTTCATGTAGGCCCAAATACACACTTGCAAAACCGATTTAGCTCAGCCCGACACCCTGCTCATTATCTAATACCGCTTTCAAGGAAAAGGAAACAGTTTTTCCTTAGCAAGGGTAAAATAAGATGTGCCTTCTCTGCAAACAAGCAAGACGGTTTTACCTGTAAAACAGGCCAAAGTGATCACATCAAGAGAAGTCTATCCATCACACTGTTCAGGCAGGTCAGTAGCGCACAGCCAAGCTTCATTTTATAGGCTTAGTCATGCTTTTCATTAAACTGTAAAACGCCCAATTGATTGTGTAAATGAACAAAGCAGATACAGCTGTGCATTTCACCCAAACACGCATCTCAGCACTGCAAAACTGTTTTATATGGAGTTACAGTATGCTGAAAACTTAACACTCAGTTGGTATTTTTGCAGGGAATTCTGTTAATATGCTAATATATATTTTTCACAAATCTAAAATATAGCTCGTTATTGAATAGCCTACTGATTGAGACAATTTGTCTTACCGCCCCCCCCCCCACACACACACACAGACACTGACACACACTTGCAGTTCAAAACTCAAAATTTAATCACAAAAAACATCAGTATTACACCTGAAATGACAAATGTGCTAAAGCTTGTATATAGGACAGTATTTAAAAAAAATAGAAGAAACAAAGATTGTTAATTATTTAAAAAAATATTTTAGTCAATAATCAGTAGCCATAATTCCAATACCTCTAATATTTGTGCATCGTTCTGCACTACTCTCAGCCTCTTCAACCTGTAAATATAGGCTACCCATAAAGCAAACGTTTTACCCATACTTTGTATTTAAAATTATTTGTTTACCGTGATAAATTATGACAAAGCTGATGATGGGTAATGCTTTGAATAACAACTGTGTTTTGAGAGCAGGAAATGTTCTTCACAATGGCATTAGATTTCCCTAAAACACCTCATTTAATCATAAAAATAACATTAGGTGCTATGCATCAGAAAAAACATCCTAGAAATGTCCTATCAACATGTGTCTGAATTGCTCCTGTTTCTTTTCCATAAGCTTTATTTTGGGCCTGATGACCTTGAGGTTAAAGAGTTATCCTTGAAGCTGGTAGTGTGTGGGATCAATAAGCAGCTGGGTCATAATGTGGCAAACTTCAGCGCTCATGTCAGCAAAGTTAAAGTGCTGTAAACAAAAGAACAAAGCAAAAGCCCCTAGATAATTCTCTTCAAAGCAGACATGTCTTAAACACTTCTTAAATCTGAAAATGAAAGGTCTGAATCTTGAGGCTCAAAACACACAGTTTGGTGTTTGAAACTTCCACAAGTTTTAGTTTGTATCCACACACATCATACTTAAAGTTTTTTTTTAGTTTTTTTGTTTTTTACAGGGCGTCTGCTTATTTTTAATCCATTCCTTTACTATAAAATTACCAGCACTTTTCAAAGAGCTGCTTTCATCAGTGATGTTCAGAACTTAACCTAAGAGTCAGTATTATATAAAGACAACACCCTTTTATCAACGTTATAATGTATATTAAATATAGAATTCTCATGATGACAAAGCTGCATATTTTAAATTGCAAGAATGCATGGATGAAATAACCTTATGGTATAAATGATGAAACGTACTTCATAATATTTATATTAGTTTCATCCAGCTGAAGTGCCTCTGAGACTTAATAAAGTCTCTATATTCATTTTCAGGGGAAGCTCTTTACAAATTATGGAATCCAGATTCTTAAAACTCCTGCTGATAATCCATAATGTAGTTGTTTTTTTCAAAGTGCACGTCTCCTTTACTTGGTGGTCTTGTATAACAGTTCTTAGTTTCACCTACAGATCCACATGGACATCTGCAAGTCCCCACCACACACACACACACACACACACACACACACACACAAAAAACCACCATCATCATCATCCAAGCAAATGGCTAATCAGTCCTTGCCCAGAATGTCACATTTATGTCAAGGCCTAATCATATGCAGATTAATGACAGGTTAACCTAAACAACAGAGACGCGGCTGGCAAAAGAGTCCCAGCAATAAGAAAGAAAAACATGAGCACATTTTAGAAATGCCTTTATTACTGTTGTCAATTTGCAAATGGTACAAGGTGAATGTGTGAGGTCGCCTTGGCTTCACAGCGCAGATTAAAGCTGCAGCAGACTGAACGATGCAGGCTTGATCCACGTGCACATCCTCTCTCCTGGGCTTTGAACGAGGCGTGTGTTGGACAGCAACGACTTCCGACATAAATTACAATCAGGAGGAAGAGTCAGCCGCCAGGAATCTGCAGATTCGGAACATCCATACTCGACGCAATTTAATCATTAAGGGGACCCTTTGTGGTGGCATGATAGTGCTCTGGTGCGAGCAATGAGAGGTTGACCCCAATTTTTGAGAGCGGGTGTTTATGGAGTCAAAAGGTCTGTGCTTAGACAGAGCCCAGGCTGGGGGTCTGGGGGGAACCCAGCATCCGCCCAGCCACGCACAGGAGAATTTCTCCACGATTAAAGAGCCCCTGATTAATCTAACGTATGTGCCAAAACTGCACATGCCGCGTATGATCCCAATTAGATTGAAACCCAACTCTGTGCAGGCCCAGCCCTACATTTGCTCTGCCATTTTTCTCTTTGTTTTTTCTGGACATTCCCTGACAACATGCCTTTTTTTATAAGACTGTTGTAAATTCTGTGTGTGGATATAATTGTAACTGAATGCTGTTGATGTTGAGGGGAGGTATGTTATCATTGTTTCTGATGGGAATGCAAGCAGGGGGCTTAGATAGTAAACATTTCTAAAGTAGCCAAGAGAACACAAAGGTACAAATGACATAGGGAAAAGGAAAAGACTGGATGAGACAAATGTTCAACAAAATGAGTGTCATTATAAGCCTACTAGTATTATAGATACTACTGATGTCATTGGGGTGCTAAAAAATAATTGTGTAATGTCAGTTTATAGGCAAGTCACTTTTA